ATAAAAGCTATTTAAACACTTAATTTTTTCAACACATACGTTGGTTTTTTTGGTTGAAGAAAGAATTTAGCCAATTGGCATATGTATAGTGGAACAACAAAGCTTTTTTTTGGGAGAGGTTTTTGCTGTAGGGCGCATGCGTTCGCCAGAAAGACAGAGAGAGACAGAGAGACAGAAAGCGAGAAATCACCCCCCAGGGAGGACGGCCACGCTGCAGTCCCTTCTCCTCCATTTTCCTCTTGGGATCTTGGGCACACACACACACACATGCGTTCAGCATGAGTTTTAAGCCACCAGGTCTGGGGCTCGAACTGCGGTTGACTACATGGGAGTCCAGCGACATAGCCATTGTGCCAACCACTGGTCCCAACCACAAAACTTTGTAGCAGGGTAAAATGAAAGTATAAGGCAGAGAAAACATGAAAGTGAAAGTACATTCCTGAGCTGTTTGAAAGGGCTACCCTAGCAAATTTGTCTTAGATGGGTAAGAATGGGAATGACTGTAATTCCTGCCTTCAGGCACCTCATACAGTCATGGGGGCGATAGACTCATTAAGTGGTTACAGGGCAGGTTACTGTCATAGTGATTTCTGCAGATCATTAGGGCAGTGTGGCTTGGTGTTTGGAAAAGATTTACAGAGAATTATTTGAATAAAGCTTCCAAGAGTTGTGAGAATTTAGGCAAATAGGACAGCTTGTCAGTGACTCTGGTTTTAGCATGTGCTTATCCTTGGGACCAGCAGTTAGCATAATGGCTATGTCGCTGAATTCCCATGTACTGGAGTTCTAGTTCCAGACCCGGTGGCTTAAACTCATGCCAGGCACATGTGCATGCGTGCCCAAGATCCCGAGAGGAGAATGGAGGAGAAGGGATTGCGGCGTGACCATCCGCCCTGGGGGGGTGATTTCTCGCTTTCTGTCTCTGTGTCTCTCTGTGTCGTTCTGGCGAGCACACGCGCCCTATAGTAAAAAGCTCTCCAGAAAAAAACAAACAAACAAGCATATGCTTATCCTTGTGCTTCCTGTTTCCAGCTGCTTTCCTGCAGCTAATTCTTTCCTGTCCTCTCCCTGTCTGCTAGGCCATGATGGTGGCATGATTGTGTTTAAGCTGGAACGGGAACGGCCCGCCTATGCAGTGCATGGCAATATGCTGCATTATGTCAAGGACCGCTTCCTCCGTCAGCTGGACTTCAACAGCTCCAAAGATGTAGCCGTGATGCAGTTGCGGAGGTAAGTCTGATTCGTTTCTTCCCTCTGAACTCTCTCATTTGTCACCATGATATGCTACCCACAAACAGAATTTTTTCTTTTTTTTCTTTTTCTTTTTCTTTTTTTTTTTCCGTTTGTTCATATTTTCTTCCATGAGAGAGAAAGAGAGAGGAAGACCCTTGTCCCCCGAACAGGTCTCCATGCTGTAATCCACCTCCAGGCTCAACCAGCCTGAATGGTTCACTGACACACACACATTCCCCTGGCTTGTAGAAGGCGGCCTCTCACGCAAACTTGGGACCTTCCCTTGTGTATCTGCTTGTTATATCACCACACCACCTTCTGGCCCCACTTTTCCCTTTTAAATGACATTTTGGGTCTCATTCGTCACAGATGGGATTCTTCATTGGATACGTCTGGTCAGTTTAAGCCCTAGGAGCTTGTAGGCAAGGAAGTACCATGCACAGGGAGGGCGCTCCCCTGTGGGAATGCTGGTGACTCTATGGAGAAGAAATCAGCCTCCCACAGTGTGCCAAGTCTCTTGCAGGACAGAGGTGTTCCCTGGTAGAGAGTAGTCCAAGTTGACCTTTTGCCTTTATTTAACATTTCTATAAGTCTTCCTTTGCCTTTCATCAAAACATATACACATCTAAACTAGAATATATGTCTCTGGAAACTCTTAACTCTGCAGATATGATAACCTCTGGATGCCTGGCAGAAGAAGCTGTCCTTTTGGAAAGCCAGCTGCATAAGCATGCTGAAACATTCATGGCGGCAAACTTTGGCACGAGGGTTTGATAACCACCCTCTAGCTTCACTGCAATAAAAAGATGGGTTTATGTGAACACTCCCAGGGATGGGAGAAACCAGCCAGAGACACATCACCTCATGTTTCTCTGTGGTGTCCACAGCAATGATGTGTAGGAATTTGTATCCAAACAGAACCAAATCCATTTGCTACAGCAAATGCTAACCCTCCCTCTGTTGAATACTTTGGCTTTTCCTAGGATTTGCCTTTTTTGAAAAGTTTGCTCAAAGCTAAGATAGAGAAGTTCCCAAGTCTTAAAGGAAAGAAGAGGGGAAATGCAGCATTTCATCTTCTTTTTGTATAAAAGTGATGAATAGCTAGGGCCGGCAGTTGGCATAGTGGTTAAGGTGCTGGACTCCCACATGGCTGATGACTGTTCTAGTCCCAGACCCAGAAGCTTGCTTTCTAACATTCTTTCTCTCTTTCTCTGTCTCATTCTGTCTCTTTCTGGTCAAATAATAAATAAGTAAGATGAAATAAAATTTTTTTAAACAGTGATGAATAATTATGTAAAGATTGGATAAGTAGGAGGTGTAAGGTAATTGCTTTCTTTCTTCTTATGCCTCTTTCTTCTTTTCTCCTTTTTCTATATATGTCTCTAGTGGTTCCAAGTTTCCAGTGTTCAACATGTCATATAATCCAGCAGAAAATGCAGTCCTGCTCTGTACGGTAAGTCACCTACTGAGTGCTCTGAGGTTCTCTCCATTTACCATAGATCTCTTTCTTGCCTTAGGGAATCTGTCAGGGCTTCTTAGAGGCTATTTAATGGGGCCAGCAGGTGGCGTGGTGGTTAAGGAACTGGATTCCCACATGGCTGACCATTGCCTAAGTCTTGGGCCCCATAGCTTGGACCTAGTTAGTGGCTTGAAAATCATGTCAGATGCATGTGCACCCAAATCCTGGTAGGAGAATGGAGAAGGTATTGTGGTGTGGCCATCCTCCTGCCAGGGTTTATTTCTCACTTTCCCTCCATGTCTCTGTGTCTTTTTCCTGCTAGCATGTGCCCTCTGGCAGACAAAAGCAAACTAAACTAAAAAAGAAAAAGCCCTTTTATTTTTTTATGGAGAGGTTTTTTGTTTGTTTGTTTGTTTGTTTTTTGTTTTGTGATAGGGCACGTGCGCTCACCAGAAAGACAGAGAGAAAGAAAGCGAGAAATCACCCCCTAGGGGTGATGGCCACACCACAATCCCTTCTCCTCCTTTCTCCTCTCGGGATTTTGGGCACACACATCACACATGCTCAGCGTGAGTTTAAGACACCAGGTCCGGGACTTGAACCACGGTCCAACTACATGAGAGTTCAGCGACATAGCCATTACGCTAACTGCTAGTCCCAGAAAAAGCTCTTTAGTGGTCTTTTTTCAAGAGTTAGCACAGGGAGCACTCAGAGACTCAAACTGGGTAGGTGAGATTCAGTTGTCATAAACATATTGAGATTTGTGAACTTGTACATTCATAAGACTGACAGCTCTAAACTCAGTGGAGCATCAAGATGAGTGAACTCTAGATTATGAAATGTAATTTGAGAGAATGATCATGGCTATGTCCTGTGCTAAAGAAGTGCTTTTTTTTTATTTCTTCCTTTGAGTGAAAGTAGAACTGTGATTTTGAGGGGGGATTCTTCTCAGTGGAGTTGCCTTCAAAGCCACCAGTTAGCCCTCTTCATTTCTTGCAACACAATTTGTAAAAACAGAAATGACGTTGTAGCGTCCAGGTGGTCAGGTTAAAAAGAATGAAAATCTTCCCTTCCCCGTGTAAAATCTGGTGTCTAACCAGTCTTTCTTTCATTTCTAGTAGTCTCATGTTATCATGGCAGTTTTCTTTAATGTCTTTTCTTTGAGATCTTTTTTTCCTTTCAAACAAACTTTAAAGTTGAGTATATGCTGGGGGGCAGAGGGCAGAATATTGGGATCTTAGTCCATTAGTTCATGGAACAGTTAGCAATCCTTGCTTTCATTCAGATATGTCTACATTTTTGGAGGATAAAGAAAATAAAGCAATGTCAGTGCTAAGTTGTTTGGCAGAGTCATAAAATTCTTAGATGGGAAACATTCAAACTCCTCGGGGTAAAAGGTTGGAAAAGTAGTTTCAGGTTGTTGTCAGTGTGATGGAACTGTTTTCTCTATCAGAGCAAACTTGGTGCCTCTCACTAACATTTTAAATTCTGCTTTCCTCTGCAGAGAGCCAGTAACTTAGAGAACAGCACCTACGACCTGTACACCATCCCCAAGGACAGTGACTCCCAGAGCCCCGATGGTAGGCCTTCTCCTAGTCTGCCCACTCTGTTCTCAGCCCTCCCCGCCCCATCATTGCTGCTCTCCCAGTTTTCACATTCCATCCCCAGGCTGTGGCCACATCACTCATGTCTGTTGGCAGGTGCTGCTAACAGTCGCATCAGAGGCGACTATGGTGTGAAATATTCATGTTCCTCCTCCATTTTATTACCCCAGCTAGATATATATATTTTATAATTTGGTTATTAGAAACTCTCCATTTTCTCCTTTAGCACAGCATGTTATCCTGGTTTATTGTCAGCTGCTATGACTTTCACCCTGGTAGTTTCATTTATTTAAAAATGTGGTTCCAATCTTGCAATGTCTCATCCTGGGACCAGGGATTTATAGTCTCCCATCCACATCCAGATCCGATTTGCTTCCTTTTGCATGTCAAAAAGATGAGGCTGCTAACAGCCCCACACCCCACCTGGGACCCCAGGATCCAGCTGAGACCCCTGCCTACCTCTTCCATCACCACCATCCCTTGTCAGCATCCGGACAATTAGAACTTGCTGACAAAACACTCTCAGAATGGGCTTGCTCTAGCTTATGCTCCTTTCAGTGCACTGTCTCCAGTGAGCTCGTGGACATTACGAGGTCACAGGCATATTCCACAGGTCCCTACTCTCTAGCATACTTTCATGATATTTTAGACCCAGCAATGGATTCTTGAGAAGTACTTTGCTAGCTCTGCCCCTTTCGTGGGTGCCACCAGGTCCCTTCTGTACTACATGACTCTCTTAAATGTGATTATGATGAGAGAAAGAGAAAACCTATGCTTATGCATCCATAAATCAGTCTCCCTTATGAATTAAGTTGATTAAGCCTTTGGTGATTAAATTCTGTAATTTGGTCCCACTTCTCCATCCTTTGAGGGAGATAACAATTAGTAAATGTGCAGCCCAATGACAGCGACAGGAGAAAGAAAAAGAGCAAATATGTGAATACTGTGGGTCCCCAGGCCCTGGAATATGCAAGTATTGGTTGTGACAATAGTTTCGTAAACTGCTTGTTACTTCTGGGTGCCAGAGGAGCACAAAGTGAGGCTGGCCAGCGTGTTTGTCCAGCTTTCTGCTGGTCTAAGAGGTACAAGAGTATTGCAGTGCATCCTTCTGCTTATCCAGCCACAACTTTCTCAGCGTGCTGCATCCATTTCCAAATCCGGATCAGCTACTGGACTGAGGAACATTGTGTCGTTCTCTTCAGGGTGGTAAGGATGGTCAGTCAGTTGACATTTATAGAGCAACAGCTTGGTGCTAAATGCTGCCCAGGGCAGAGCTCATCCGTCAAGATATAGCTGGGAGAGCTTGCCCCACCCTGCCCTGCCAGGAGGTCTGCATTTGCATGTTAAAAGCAGCTGAGCAGCTGCGTCCTGGGGAGGTGGCTCAGTCTCCACTCCAGCTTGTTCAGATAGGGGTCCTACACTGACAGGCTGCTTGCTGTGCCACAGCTTGGCCAGGGAGGCCCTGCTCATTAGCTTGATGGAGTGTGCTGTCTCCCAAGATGGGCGGCTCTTCTGCCAGTTATGTGTTGTTGGCTGAAATGCAGCCACTTGGCCTAGAGAAAAGAGGCTTGGCAGGGGTGGGGTTGGAGTTTGGAGGGAACTGGTGGGGAAAAGTCACTCGACAATAGCCCCAGGTTATGGCTGAATTAGTTAGGAAGCAGCTGAAACTGGCAAAGCCAAGATGGCAGCCAGCAAGAGTGGCAGGGCTT